AGTTCAAACTTACAACGGCACTAATAAAGGTGACTTATGGCCATTTTTAACACTTACAACCTTTGTAGCATTCCTGTGATCATGTGATCAAAATTCAGATGATTAGCAACGTTTTTTTGTGTGTCCCGGAGTGATGTGATCTTCTGATGAGCAAACCCAGTGGGGCATCCAAATTCATTTAATAACTGAGTTACTAACTTAACAACCTCAGTGATTCACTTAACAACTGTGGCAAGAAAGGTTGTAAAATGGGGCAAAACTCAGTTAACAAATGTCTCACTTAACAACAGAAATGTCGGGCTCAATTCTGGTCGTAAGACAAGGACTACCTATATTTCTATGCAACAACTACAGTAGTTTTCAGCCAGTAGATGGCAGTGTTTACAAGTTTGGATCTACTTTATGCTCCTTTTTTCTAAGTCAAGATTCCTGTTTCCTGTTACAGTTAACCAGCTCAGCAGTAAAGCACATGGTGACTGTACTCTTTGTTTGCTCTGAACAGAACAGAATTTCTAACAATCAGGATTCCTGCCTTGAGAAGGTAGTGGACTAGAACAGGGGTGTCAAACACACCCAGTGGGTTGGATTCAGATAACAGATCATCAGAGTTGGGAGGGACCTTATAGATCATCGAATGCAACCCTCTGCCCAAGCGGGAGACCCGACACCATTCGGCCTGCAATGTGGCTGCATCTGGTCCATGAGGTCATCCTGGAAAATGTAAGAGGTCGGCCCATATCGCTTCAGCCCTGTCTACCCATGTGGCTTTGGCCCGGTTTATCTGCCCTGTCTACCCAGTGCGAAGAGGAAACATGGCAGCAGTTTGGGGAGTGGTGTCAAGCTGTCCATGCCTACCCAGTTGGCCACATCCACCCAGTCAGCCACACCCACCCATCTCCCTCCTCCTCGAGGTCAGCCATAGCCCTGATGTGGCCCTCAATGAAATTGAGTTTGACATCCCTGGACTAGAAGACTTCCTAAGCCCCTTCCAGCCCTATGACTCCATGATTCCGAGGTTGAATCTCTTTGAATAAAGGTGTAGGCTTGGGTCTAACGATCCTTCTCTTGATAATTTATAATATAGGAAGAGTTGAGCCAGGGAAGAAAAGGCAAAACACCCCACTTTTTAAGCCTGATGATTATATGCTCAATGCTGAGCCAACGTTAATGCTGCCAACCTTACCGAGCGTAATAGAGTTTGAAGAGGATTATCTGGCCCGAAGGAAAATGAGTAGCGACAGCTTCAGGAAAGGTGAGATATCTTTCATAGACACTCTGCCGCTCTTTCTGCAAAGTTTCATGGCCTTTTTGGCTGCTTGGTTATCATCAAAAAAAGCTCTGATTCTCCTTTTTTTTAAGTGATTTTTTTTTTCATAAACATTTTGAATACAGTGTATTGTCAGGGCATATCATTTACAGAAAAGCAAAGAAAGAACAAAAAGAAATATTAACATATATACTAACTAGCTGGATACCCGTGCTTTGCTACGAAACTATGTAGTTGGGCTTAGTTTTGGGGGAGGAAAATAAGGGGAAAAATTGTGCCTCTGCCTACCAGCATCCATCGGTATTCATCTGGCTAGCGTCCTGTCAGTGTGTGAGAGAGTTGAGGGCTGTTTAGAAACTGAAACAGTATTTGCTGTGTGAGCAAGAAGGAGACAGCAAGGAGCCTGGGTGTGGCTTAGCTCAAATGTTCTGTACTAAAGCTGCTTGGTACTGTGAAACTAAAACGGAAACTCCTCTCCTCTGCTTGTGTTTTGCATTTGGAACAGATTTCTTTTCAGGTGGGGAGGGGGAGTAGAACTCCTTAGCATCAAAGCATGTTAATAATAATATACGAAATACTAATGCTCTGATGGTCATTTTGAAAAATCCTTTCTTAGTGAGCCCCTAGAAGCCAAGAGGAACATATGTGCCAAATTTCAAGTTTGTAGGCTTTATGGTTCTGGAGATTATGTGATGATGCATGAGTGGTATTTCACTTTTATACATATAGGTAACAATAATAATAATGGTGTAACAGAATAGCTTTGACTAGATTTCTCTTTATGTTACATTTGTAATTCTCTTGGTTATATTGGCATATTTATAATTATAAACCATCTTTATATTTAATTCATACAAAGCAACAATCTTTCTTCATATAATTTCTACCACTTATCTCTAACCACTCGTAAAATCTATTCCATGTTAAGTAGCATTCTATGTCTTCTTTGTCCTTTATTTTTAATGTCAATCTATCCATCTCTGCACAGTCTTATATTCCTCACATAGTATCTTTGAAAATATTTATGTATCGTACTCCTTCCATACCATAAAAAAGTGCCATCCTTATGGGAGATCATGGCCCTCCAATAATAATAATCGTCTATGTTTCAAGTTTATCCATTCTTTTACCCATGTAAGTACAGATGCCTGATAATATAGCTCCCAATCTGATAGTCCAAAACCCAGTGGTGCAGGGGTGGGATTCTACCAGTTTGCACCTATTCGCTAGAACCGGTTGTTAACATTCTAAGCAGTTCAGAGAACTGGTTGTTAGAAGAAATTACTGGTCTAATCCTGTAAGGAAGGCAGGAAGGAAACACTCTGGTGTTGCTTACAGAAGCTGCCTCTCATTAACCCTTATTACATTCTTGGCAGGACTAGACTTCCTGTCTCAGGAACTTCTCTGGAGTTTTTCCCCCCGCCTTTGCTGGTACTTTGCTTGTGTGGAGTGACCATTCAAAGTTACAATGGCACTGAAAAAAGTGACTTATGACCATTTTTCACACTTAAGACTGTTGCAGCATCCCCACAGTCATGAGAAGCCAGGCGAGGAGATGCGTGCCTCGATGTGAGTGATGTTGAGTTGGCCATGCCCAGCCAATAACATGACAGCCAAGCCATTTCCACCCAGTCACATGATCGCCAAGTCACGCCCACCAACTAAGTCATGCCCACAGAACCGGTTGTTAAAAAATTTGAATCCCAACCCTGCAGTGGTGGGATTCAGCCAGTCCACACCAGTTCGAGAGAACCAGTTGTTAAATTTCTAAGCAGTTTGGTGGACTGGCAGTTGGAAGAAATCATTAGGGCGGAGAACCGGTTGTCAAATTATTTGAATCCCACCACTGCCAAAACCCCCATTATTTTTAGATTCCTGTAACATTTTCAGTTTTATTCTTGCTTTTTTCCCTTGCCAGATATACTTCAAGATTGTTCTACTTAGTTCTTCAAAATATTTTTTTCTCTATTTTTATCGGTATCGTTTGAATAAAAAAAGTAGTTTCGGTAGTATATTCCTTTTATATAGTGGCCATTCTCCCTATCAAAGATAATTTTGGGGGGAAAAAGGCTATGGTTCTCTTGATTGCCTTATCATCTTATCATGCATCGGGTTATATCATAAGTCATTACCATTAGAGAATCTGTGTTTCAATTACATATGATTTTCACGGCGAAGATTAGGGTTGGAAGAAGGATAGAATAGCAATAGTGTGTGTATCGTATATTTCTGGTGGCAGAGGGCTCAGGTTTTAAAAACGAGACACGGTGACATCTATTCAAAGCTCTTCCAGTAAATGCATCTTAATTCCTTGGTCGAGGTGCCGATTTTAACTTTATGATATATGACAACTGAGGGGTGGGGGGAAAAGACCAAGGTCCCACATTAGAGACAATGAGATGCACAAATGTGAAAGGCACATTTCATGATGAGATCTGACCTGGAGAAATCAGGGAGATGTTTTAGCTTGAAGAGACAGCTGATACATGTTAATTTCGCATGACCGGAAGTTGTTTGCTTCTAGGGATAACACAGGGCGGGGATAGATTGGTCCCCTGATGGAATGCGGGCAGGATCGTGTTTCCAAAAAGACAACCTGGAGAACAGGGGTGTCAAACTTGATTTCATTGAGGGCTTCATCAGGGGTTGTGATTGACCTCAGAGAGCTGGAGACAGTATGTGTGGGACATGGCCAAGGTGGGCGTGGACACGGTGGACGTCACACGAGACTCCTAGTGGGGGGACACCTGTGGTGGCCAAGTGCTAAGGCAGGACTTTCCTCAGACCCTCCCTCCCTCATTATAATCTCCTTCCTTCCTTCCTTCCTTCCTTCCTTCCTTTCTTCCTTCCTTCCTTCCTTCCTTCCTTCCTTCCTTCCTTCCTTCCTTTCTTCTTCTTCTTTTTCCTTCTCCTTTCTTCTTCCTTCTCCTCTTCCCTTCTTTTTCCTTCTCCTTTCTTCTTCCTTCTCCTCTTTCCTTCTTTTTCCTTCCTTGCTCTCTTCCCATCCTTTCTTCTTCTTTATCTTTCCTCTTTTCCCTTTCTCCTTTCCTGTCCCTTCTTGCATGCTCAAATGCAAAAGGGGAAACATTTCTCTCTTCGTTTTGTTTTTACTTTGTTTTTGATAGCCCTCTGCCAGCCAAAATGGGACAACCCCCCCCCCCCAGTCCTTGGCTATTTCCAGCCCAGCCCCATGGGCCAGATCTAAGGCTCCAATGGGCCAAATCCAGCCCACAGGCCTTGAGTTTGACACCCCTGCTGTAGAAACAAATATGGCTGGTTTAATGGATCCAGTTAAAGAGTGTAGGAAGAAAAACCCGGTTCCAGTTCCAAGTTGGGAATAAAACAGAGGCTGCTTAAGAAAGGACGTTTATTGATGAGTGGAACCAACAATCATAGCTTGTGGTTCTGGGACAACTGACCAATTGGTTGAATGAGTGGATGGATCTTTATAGGTTTCTGTGGCTTTGAAGTTTGAACCGTTCTTGGGATTGTGCAATGAAGGGGGGCTTGTGGTTCTCTTGCTATTTCAATAGTGGTGGATTAATCCTATTATGTTCTTAAAGGTCACATCCTGTCCTTCTCAATCCCATCAGCTAGAGCTGAAGGTGCCTTGTTTGTGAATAGATTGGCCTGGATTTCTCAATGGGCACAAAATCTCCATCCATCTCTAAAGACTTCAGGCATCTACTGGGGGCTGTTTTTGCTATGCAGGAAACCGGGTCTGCTTTCTGCCTTTAAGAACATGTTTTCTCCATTTCTCCTTTGGGGAAATGTAATATCATGCCTCTTTTGATATTCCCTTAAATATTTCATTCTCTAGGAGTGTGGGAGTGTGGGAGCTTCCCACAATTGGCAGCTGCTTTAATGAGTCCATGCATCCCAGCAATTGTGTCCTTCCCAGGCTCATCTGGAAGCCTAAAATATTGCTAATCATCCTTCAGAAAGAAAAAAAGAGTGGTGCAGCTCTCGCCTCATAATCGGGAGGCTGGGAGTTCGATCCTAGGTGGAGGCAGATATTCCTCTCGCTGGGCACAATGAGAATATATCTGCTGAACAAAACTCTGCATTGGTGACAGGAAGGGCAACCAGCCAGTAAACACTTAGCTCCATTCAGTTGCCCAGATTCTACCCTGCAAGGGATTATGGGTTCATTAAAAGGAGATGATGATCCTTCAAAAAGAAAAAAAATGCATGTTTTGAGGTCCACCTTTTCTAATTACTCAAGCCAGGAGTTTTTACAGATGGGGAAAATCAAAATGGTGGGTGTAATTGGGCAATCGAAGCCCCGCTCTTTTATAATGTTAACCACATTATAAAAAGGCAATTTTGATCCTCTGGTCAAAACACATTATCCCATCCCAAAGCCTTTTCTTTCTTAAAGAGAAGACAACAGAAACGGATTGCATATTGAAGTCAGCAAATGTTTCAGTTCACGTGGTCCTTGATTTACAGCCATTTGATTGTTCAAAGTTACAGCAGCACTCCTTCCCCCTCCCCTCCCCTTTCCTCTTCCCTTTCCATTCCTCCTCTTACTTTCCTTCCTCCTCCTCTCTTCTTTTTCCCTTTCTCCTCCTCCTCCTCTCTTCCTTTTTCCTTCCTTCCTTCCTTCCTCTTCTTCCTTTTCCCTTCCTCCTCCTCTCTTCTTTTTCTCCTTCTTCTCCTCTTCTTTTTCTGCTTTTCCTCCTCCTCCTCTTCCTCCTCTTCCTTTTCCCTTCCTTCTCCTCTTTTCTTTTTCCCTTTCTCCTCCTCCTCCTCCTCCTCCTCTCTTCCTTTTTCCTTCCTCCCTTCTTCCTCTTCCTCCTCTTCCTTTTCCCTTCCTCCTCCTCTCTTCTTTCCTCCTCCTCCTCCTCCTCCTCCTCCTCCTCCTCCTCCTCCTCCTCTTCCCCCTCTTCCTTCTCCCCTCCTTCTCCTCTTTTCTTTTTCCCTTTCTCCTCCTCCTCCTCCTCCTCCTCCTCTCCCTCCTCCTCCCTCCTCCCCATTTCTGCTTCTCTTCATAGTTTCCCATTTCCATTGTGATACCTCTGCTGCAACTGATATTATCCTGCTGGTGGATGGATCTTGGAGTATCGGACGCAACAATTTTGGACTCATTCGAGAATTCCTGGCATCTTTGCTGGCACCTTTCAATATTGCTGAAGATAAGATCAGAGTAGGTGAGTGGCTTTTTTTTTTTTTGCAGCCATCAAATTCAGGAATTATTCAGTTTTGGATAAAATAATGTTTTCTACCAATCCAAGAAAGCAGCAACATTTATCATTATGGCAGAGACTCTTTGATCTCTTAAAATCATTTCTTGCATTGTTATGATAGTAGTGAATTCATTGGTAATTGAAACTCAAGAAAATGTTGCGACAATAGAAAAAGTCCAGAAGGCACAGCTTAGAAGGCACAGCTTTTCAAAGAATTCAGGAACAATTCTTTTACATCTTCCACGGATAGCCCAGTTTGCTTGCTTTTTTTTAAAAAAATTTTTTAATTGAAATGTTTAATGATCATTACTAAAATCTCAATTTAAAAAAAAGGAAAAAGAAAAAGACAGAAAGTACATGCAAAGGAAAAAAAGTTATTTTAGTGACATTTTAATAATCATACTAAAAGTAATGCAAACTAAACCAGAAGGAAAACAATATAGAAAAAAAGAAACAAGTAGAAGAAATATTTTAATAATCAAATAATAATAGTATTGAATTTTTTAAAAAACAAAGTGAAAACTAATACAAACTAGATTAGAGAAGGAAAAGTGCAGGGGGAAAAAATCGCGAGGAAAAAAGAATACAGAAGAATTTTAAAAATAATTTTATTTCTTTTCTTTATAAAGAAACTAATACAAACTAAAGCAGAAAACCTGCAGAAAGTGCAGGAAAAAAGAAAAGAAAATGGTTTTACTGAATTTTTTAAACAAACCTAGCAAAAATGAATACAAACTATATTTTAAAAAAAGAAAAGACAAGAAAAGGGCAGAAATTGCAGCAAAATGAAAGAAGAAAGAAGTAGAAAAAAGAGTGGAAAACCCCAGTTTTCTTTCTCACCGCTTCTCCTTGTCATTTCTGCCAGGTTTGTCCCAATACAGCAGTGACCCACGGACAGAATGGGATCTGAATACGTATTCCACCTGGGAACAGGTGTCCAAAGCCATTCGGAATTTGCGCTACAAGGGAGGGAACACTTTTACAGGTGAATGAATGAATGAATGAATGAATGAGTTCTTTATTGGCCAAGTGTGATTAGACACACAAGGAATTTGTCTTCGGTGCATATGTTCTCAGTGTACTTAAAAAGAAAATACATTCGTCCAGAATCATCAGGTACAACACTTAATGATAGTCATAGGGTACAAATAGGCAATTAAATCATATTAGGAAACAGTCAATACAGAGGTGGTATTCAGCAGGTTCTGACCAGTTCTGAAGAACGGGTAGCGGAAATTTTGAGTAGTTTGGAGAATTGGCAAATATCGCCTCTGACTGGCCCCACCCCCTCTATTCTCTGCCTCCCATTGAGTCCCAGCTGATCGGTTGAGTCTTCTTTTGTTGCCCTGCACAGAACAACGGAGCTGGAAGGCAGGTTAGTGGGGTGGGGAGGGAATGGGGTTTTTGCAGTATTCTTCCCCTGCCATGCCCACCAAGCCACAACCACCAAGCCACGGAACCAGTAGTAAAAATCTTTGAATCCCACCACTGTTCTAAGGGCACGCTTTGCGCATGTGCGCAGGGCTCAAAGACCGCCTGCTGCATCAATGCTGGTGAGCTGTGCTGTTTTTTTTTTTAGCTCAGCTGAGGTGCAGCCATCTGCTCTGCCACGTGAATCAGCTGAGGTAAAAAAACAAGGGAATATAGGAGAGGTAACGGCGGGGGCAGGTGGGCGGGCCCAGCCAGAAGTTGTCAAGCCTGAAATTGACCTATGTGTAGCCATTTTAGTTAGGCTTAGTATATATTCTTTTTCTTACTTTCTCTGTGGCAGTCATAGGGGGGAAGGGTTTCGGGCTTGCCACATTCCTAAGGAGTGGAGATAAGGAGAGTTGTTTTGGCTAGGCGATTCTTCTTCCTGTGGGAAAACGAGCTGTCTGTGCTTAGGCCCCTCGAGGTGGAGATTTATGACATCAAGCAATGTTGAATTACTTCTATTGGGGAATGTGACTTTTGGGGGTTGTTTCTAACTTCTAATATTGTGAGGTAATTCTGGGTTGTGTCAGATTCAGAATTACCATGGACGTTGCCAGTTTGATGCTTTCCTAAATAAAAGAAATTGTCTTGGAGGATGGACTTTGTTTTTTTCTTTTCATCACTTGGAAACCTGATATTATCCTGGTATTTGCCAGTTTTCCAAACTACTCAAAATTTCCACTACCGGTACACCAGAACCAGTCCGAACTGGCTGAAAGTACCTCTGAACTGTTGCAGTGTCCTGGAATCATGTGTTCACCTTGTGTGACCTTCTGACGAGCAAAGTCAATGGGGAAGCCAGATTCACTTAACAACCAGGTTACTGATATAACGACTGCAGCGATTCACTTAACAACTGTGTCAAGAAAGGTGGCAAAGTGGGGCAAAACTCACTTAACAAATGTCTCTCCTAACGATGGAAATTTTGGGCTCAATTGTGGTCATAAGTTGAGGACTCCCCTGTAGAACATTTTGCAATGTTTCTCATCCTTTACAGGAAGAGGCCAGGCGTGAAATGCCACTTTGGCCCAGATTTAAGGAAAGGGAGAAATCAGGACCTGAATGACATCTCGTTCCTTTTCTCTGAACCTTTCTAACTATTATTTTTCCCTTCTCTCTTTTTCCCCCCATCCAAGGATTGGCGCTTACTCACGTCCTAGAGCACAACCTGAAAGAAGAAGTGGGTGCAAGGCCTGAAGCTTCTAAACTCCTCATCCTTTTGACCGATGGCAAATCTCAGGATGATGCCAGCCCACCTGCCCAGACTTTGAAGAATATGGGAATCAAGATATTCGCTGTGGGTGAGTCCCCCAGACCAGTGGCCACCAACCAGTGGGCCAGGGACCACTGGTGGTCTGCGAGAAAGTTTGGGTGGTCTGCAGAGAAATATCACCTCCAAAGCACCCCCCAAGCAATTAATCCAGGCTGCGCGGGAACACAAGGCTGTGACACCCACATGGCCTGCGGAACACAAGGCTTGCGTCGCTTGCATTGTGAACAACACAAGGTAGTGAGGGGAGTGGGGAAAGGGTGGAGGGGGGAACTTGCCCCATGTGCCCCAGCTGGCCACCGGGCTGCTTCTTTCTTCTTCTGCTTTTGGCTGCACGCAAGGAAAGCAGCAGAAGTCTTTCTTTCTCTCCCCCAAACTCCACCAGAAATGAGTCTTTGGGACACCGCAAGGCATCCTGCTCCAAGAGGCTGCGCAGGTGTAATACGTCTCACAAAGACTCATTTCTGGTGGAGTTTGGGGGAGAGAGAGAAAGACTTCTGCTGCTTCTGCTGCTTTCCTTGCATGAAGCCAAAAGTCTCTCTCTCTCTCTCCCCCTGAGAATGGAGCTGGAGATGGTATCCTGTGATCCCAAATAAAGAATGATCGATCGGTAGGAAAACGGGGTGGGTTAGACTTTTGGGGGGATTTCCCCAGGGTTTCTGGTCTGCAGGATTTAAAATTATGATTTTGGTGGTCCCTAAGGTCCAAAGGTTTGACGACCCCTGCCCCAAACCCAAGTCAGTATAGGGAATTCTGGGAGTTGAAGTCCACTCCTCTTCACCTCTTCAAAACCCTCTCTGTCTCGTGTCAATACCTGATCTGACCACGAGATGGCGCTGCCTCTCTACTCAAGCTGAAATCATTTGCAAACTAAACAATTATTCTGTTCCAAGAGCCTTTCCCCAGTGTCCTGCTAAGAAATAATTTGGACTACAGGTTCCATTATCCCTGGCTGCCTTGGCCGTGATGAATGTTGACTGGACTGATGTGCACTGTAGTCTCTTGTATCTGAAAGGCACAGGTATAAATATTGAGGGGCTTCACGTACATCGAATTCTACTAAATGTCACCAAAGTAGGTTTTTGTGTTAGATTTACGCATTCTGATGGACGGAGTGGGGTTGTTTTTGGGTAGGGGAATCTTTCATGGCAGGTGTTTTGACTCAGGCAGGCTATCTCATTGTGCCACAACAGAGTTTGTTACCCAGGACACAACATGCTATGAGAAGGCAGGAGCTGTGCTTTGTTTAAATGTGTTGTTCGTGGAGAAGTCACCCAAACAGTGCCATCCATAATCAAGAGCGATATTTCTTGGAGAATTCTGTATAGCACAAAATATCTCCCAGGAAAAAGAGCTCTAAAGGAGACGGAAGAGAAGGAGAGGAGAAGGGGGGGGAGAAGGATAAGGGATGAGAAGAAGACAAAGAGAAAAGAGAAGAGGGAAGAAGGAGAAGAGGGGGAGGAGGAGGGGAGAAAGAGATGGAGAAGTAGAAGGACAAGGGCAGAGAAAAAGTGAATGAAGAGGAGGGTGAGGAGGATGGAGAGGGGAAGAAGAGGAGGAAGGAAGATGGAGATAGGGAAAAGGAGGAGGAGGAGAGGACAGAAGGAAGGAGAAGGGACAAAGTGAAGACAAAAAGAGAAGAAAAAGGAGAAGATGAAGGAAGAGGAGGAGCTGATGGGGAGAAGAACAAGGAAAGGAAATGGAGATAAGGAGGAGGAGGACAAGGAGAAGGGGAAGAACCAGAGGAGGAGGAAAAGGGAAAGGAAGGAAAATGGAGAAGAAGGTGAAGAGGAGAAGGAGTAGAAAAGAGAAGGAATTGAAGAAAGTAGAATAACAACTAAACACACTGGACAAGAATGTTATTTTTTTTGCAAAAGAAAAAGGAAGCCCAAAGAGAGAAAATGGGGATCAAATGGAGAGGCCTTCTAGTAAAAGCATGGCTGGCGGGATGATTTGAGGGGTCCTTGGTGCTGTCTGAGCTTGCTTGTTTTGTTCCAGATGTTCCATTATGCAAATTAGGTAACGTCATCAGTGCTAGTCATGGTTGGACGGTTCCAATAGATGATTGATTAGAACCCCAAACCAGGATATTCCTTACATTTGGGGTATTACCAGTGGATGTTATTCCTGCAAACCCACCACAGAAAAGTAGCAAATGGCAGCATTCATGGGAAGGAGGTAGCCATCTTGCCTTTTTGACAGCAGATGATGCTGGTGGCAAGACTCCCAGAGTCGTTATTTATTCCCAGAGCTTTTAAATCTGTTATCTTCTCTCTTAGCCAATGCATCCCATCTAAATGGCCCTTCTAGATGTTTGAAAGATGCTTTTCCAAAAGGCCACTGGATTTTCTTGTTTCCCCCCACACCCAAGTAAACTTGGTTTCAGAAGAATTTGAAGAAGCTTCTTGGATGAGGATCGAAACGTCTTCAAGGGGGGGGGGGAATCAAGAAACCCCAGTTGCCTTTTGGAAAAGCAAATAAGAGGGGAATAACAATATACATATTTTAATATAACAAGATCTATGCAATAGTAAGAGAGAAGTCTAGAAATTAAATGATGGTAGTATTATTAAATAATATGAAATAATAAAAATAAAATGTAATAACTAATGAGTTACAATATTATGTTTACCTGTACTTAATGAATGGTACCCAGGTATCACACTGTTCACGCTTTGATATGTATAAGTAAAATAAAATAAAAAACTTGACAAAAAAGAGAGAATCTTCATAGACATCCTACTAGATGGTTTTCTGCAGGCTTCACACTTTCCATCCATGTTACCTCCAGATCCTCATGTTTCCTCTTTGTTTCAGGGGTGAAAAACGCTGATGAAACAGAGCTGCGCCAAGTGGCCTCCGAACCCCTTGAGATGACCGTCTACAATGTGGTGGATTTTCCTCTGCTCCGTTCTCTGGTCAGCAGGCTCACATGGCTCTTATGTGCTTGGATCAAGGAGAAGAACCAGAAGAATATAGGTGATACCAGAAAGGAGAATATTTGTAGCTCGGGGTTGAACATGGGGACATGCTCTCTGAAGTTGGTGGTTTTCTTGCAGCTTTTCATTACTCAACTAGGTAACATCATCAGTGCTAGATGAGTAGATGATGTTATCTAATCTGGGTAATGAAACTCTGCAAGAAAACCACCAAGCACCAAGGACCTCTCTGAGGTGAGGCTGACCCCATTTCTGCTGACTCACTTAACTGGCCCCAGAGGTGCCAAGATGGTGGATGGGGCTATGATGAGGCATATAAAAAGGGATGGGGCTTAGCCATACATTTACAAACCTCCCCATCCCGAAAATGCCATGTCAGTGTCAGGGTTCTGACCGATGCCCTAATAAAATCAGGAGCCTCAAACAAAGTTTCAAAGAAAAATCCAGTTGTTTATTAGGAGCACCATGTCGACGCGGACCAAGTGAAGCCAGTTCTAACTTCACTCAGTTCGCGCCTTGCTTCTGACCCTGTTTCCCCCTCCCCGCAAAGTGTGTCATTGGTTACATTCCCCAACGAAGCAAATTCGTGGGTTGTAGAAGTCACTCCCTCTGGCCATTGTGTGTCTCCGTGGAGATGGCCTTGACTTCAGGATCAGTGGTGGGTTTCCAATTTTTTTTTCTACTGGTTCATGTGTGCCTAACGCACGCTTTGTGTACATGCGCAAACACCTCAAAGATCGCCCTCTGAGTCAGCGCTGGTGAGCTGAGCTGTTTTTTACCTCAGCTGAGGTGTGGCAATCTGCTCTGCCATGCGGATCAGCTGAGGTAAAAAACAAGGGAATATAGGAGAGGTAACAGTGCGGGTGGGCGTGCGGGCCCAGCCAGAGGTGGTATTTGCTGGTTCTCTGAACTACTCAAAATTTCCACTATCGGTACGTCAGAACAAGTCCAAACTGGCTGAATACCATTTTTGCCTAGGATGTGTTTTGTTTTGACTGAGGTGCGAATTCCTCGATGCAGCTGCGTGGCGCGATTCCCCCATCCTCTTGCATAAGGCAACCTGAGAGCAAATCAGGAAAGCTTTGTGAGTTGACAGTCAGCCTCTTACGCAGAAATGCAATCCACATATTTTTAATATTTAGATACTTTAGGGATGAATGGGGTTTTTCGTCGCCGGATCATTTTTTTTCTTCAATAATAAGATTCATTTTTCTCAGAAAACTTCATTTCCTGCACCAAAATGGGAATCGTTTTGCATTTTGCAGCCCTACGAACAATTCTTGGCGCAGGAGATGTGAATCAAATTCTACCATGAAGAGAGAAAATAAAGACAGCGCATCGTTTACATTAAGTTGTTTTTCATTGGGAAAAACGATGCCATTCTTAACCAATATTTTAGCCTCACTTCAAGCTATGATTTATTCATAGCCCTAACAATAAACAGATCCAGCCACCTTGCTTTAGTGCTTCGATTTTTTTAAATGTATGTTAGATTTTATTCTTCCACTGTTTTAATCTCTGACTAAGACCTTAGCTTTGAAAAGCCAAATTTGTCAACTCATCTAACCAGCTTTACCGTAGGCATATCCAGAATGTTTTGAACCACTTCAAATTAAAAAATGTCTTGTGCTAAGTGTCGAATCTTTTTTTATGAGTTCACTCCAATCATTTGAGTGCTCCATCAAGCTTGAAATAGTTTAAACGTTCCCAAAAATGGCCTAAGGAATCCACTGTAGATGCAAAAAGACAGTTTAGAACACAAGAAAACAAATTGTAGTCTTGAAAGAATGCATTTCATATTCAGGGCAAAACAATTTTTTGGGATTCGCTTTGAGATAAGAGAATAAAAGAGTTGGATGGGGCCTTGAAGTTTTTCCAGTCCAATCCAGTGCTCAAGCAGGGGACCTTAAACCATTTCAAACACTGTCTTGAAAGTCTCCAGTGATGGAGCACCAACAACTTCTGGAGGCAAGTTGTTCCACTGGTTAATTGTTCTCACTGTTCAACAATTTTCTCCTTAGTTCTAGGTTAGTTCTTTCCTTGATTAGTTTCCATCCTTTACTTCTTGTCTTTTGGAGAATAGCTTGACTCCCTCTTCTTTGTGGCAGCCCCTGAGATATTGGAAGACTGCTATCATGTCACCCCTGGTCCTTCTCTTCATTAGACTAGACAGTTCCTGCAACCATAAAGCATGCCCGTAGAGTACAGGTGAATTGGGGCAGTGGATAAGTTCAGCAAAACGAACACATAAGTGAATTCATCCAGTTTTCCCCAACCCCGAATAAAACGGTACCCATCGCTTGGGTGTTGCAGGGGATCCAATGAAAACCATGTCAGCGAAATCTGGAGTCCACTTGAGCCCAACCAATCTCCTCTTAAAAGAAATTACTTCCAGAAGTATGCACCTCATCTGGAACTCACCACTCATAACACCCCAGAGATACAGAGTGGTCTATTACCCATCGCGAGGTGGAATTCCCAAAGAGGTAGGTCTATGTTTTGGTTGATGTCTTAAGCTGACCCATCCAGAGGGATATTGAATGATCAGTCATGTGTCACCTTGACCAATTCCCTTTAGAATTGACTGTCCCCCACCAGGTTCTTCCAACACTTCTGTATTTTCATCCCCCTTGTTGCTAGTAATCCTCTTCTTATGG